GACTATAATGAGAGAAATAACACTTAAGGTTGGTTAATATATATTATAAGTTCTAATATATTAATACGATTATTTAATTAGTATTGATCAAGAATTAATCTAGGATTATTTAAGTGATCAAAAGAAGACTAATTAAATATATGGGTTGATTGTGTAAATCATCCATACTTATATAGTGGGCTAATGCTCTATAGATTGTCAAGTTGGGCTAAAACTCATAAGATGCTCCATGGTGTATTTGTACCCATGGATCATGGAAATGAAAGGCCATGTCAATTAGGGTTTACATGGTGTAACCCTAACTATATATGCATCTTATTCTTGACCAAAATCGGCACTAGTATCATCTAGAGAAGGGCTAGCCGATTTTCATGAAGTGTGGAATTCTCTCAAGTCTTTCCAAGTGCATATGATGTTGTGTGAACCATTTGAGGTGTCACACTTGGGGCACTAGGCACTCAAGCTTCATGAAGACTTTCTACATCAAAGAGGTATGTAATTCTAACTTGATACATATTTATATGAATCATATTATTATGCTAGTTAGGATGAATACCTTGGAAAGTTCATATTGGCATGTATAATAGAGAAAACATAGATCCAAGGTATTTAGGGTTGCATGTACACTTAGGAGTGTTAGAATGCTCAAAACCCAACAGGGTCGACCAATATACCATCCTGGTTGATGAGGTGACCTAGAAAATGAACCTCACACAACTAGAACTCACATTTGGAGAACTTGGCGTACAACCTCTCCGCCCTAAGAATTCCAAGAAGCTCACGCAGATGCTTCTCATGATGCTCCTTGGTTTTGGAATAGACCAAGCTATCATCAATGAAAATTATCATTGATCGGTCTAACATAGGCCTACACAACTGGGTAATGGGATCCATGAATGTTGTTGGTGCATTGGTAAGCCCGAAAGGCATTACCATGAACTCGTAATGCCCATAGCGAGTTCGGAAAGTCTTCTTTGGGATGTCCTCCTCCTGAACCCTCACCTAGTGATAACTAGATCTCAGTTTGATCTTGGAAAACCAAGATGCCCCCTGTAACTAAGTAAAAAGGTCACCAATCATCAATAATAGGTACCAGTTCTTCACTGTCAATTTGTTTAACTCTGAGTAATCAATACACATATTGTGTGGACCATCCTTCTTCTTTACAAAAAGGATCGGTGCTCCACACAACGAGCTACTCGGCCGAATTAACTCTTTCCCTAACAACTCTTGCGTTTGGGAGGATAATTCCTACATCTCGGGTGATGCAAGGTGGTATGGTTCCTTCACAATCTGGGAGGCACCAGGGATCAGATCGATCCTGAACTCGACCCACCTCTCGGGAGGCATGTCAGGCAATTCCTATAGGAAAACATCAAGAAACTCCATTACAATAGAGACATTGGAAATTGAGTTCTCCCTCTCACCCCGCATCTCGAACACATACACTAGATATCCCATACATCCATGCTGAAGGCACTACCTCACCCTGGCGGCGGATCCAACTCTAGAACCCTCGTTATAGATAGTTAGAGCTCCCCCACTAGGGTCACACACTATCACCAAATTCTTTTCGTAGTCAGTTAATGCCCCAAACCGGCTCAACCAATCCATGCCCGTAATCATGCAAACATCACCCATCATAATAGGGATGTCGTCAATCAGAAAACTCATATTGAAAATCTCCAATATGCAATCCTGATATATCTCCGAAGCCGAAATTATATGATCATCAACTATAGCATCCTTCAAAGGTTGATCTAGGGCCTCATGAGTAACACTGAAACCTCTACAAAACGATGCAGACACAAACCACTGAATCGCACCTGAGTCAAACAACACCACGATAGGTATAGAGTTCACAAGGAAAGTACCAGTGATGACATCATGTTCTGCTTTGGCCTCCTTTGCAATCAACTAAAAATCTCAACCCTGGGCCTTCGGGGCCTCAGCCTTCCCATGACGCCCATCAGTGATATACAGGGTCGTAGGAGCAAGATTTTGAACTATCTTTGTTGTAAGAAGTGGACATTCCGCCTTCACATGACCCGCCTGGTTGTAGCTAAAACATACTCGCAAACCCTTCAGACACTCCTTTGTGAAGTAACCCTCTTTCCCACACAAGTAGCATACCATCCCCGGTCGATAAGGATCCTCATGACCCTTACCACACTTACTGCATGTACGACTCCTCTGACCTCCTGACCTAGAATTAGTAGGATTTTCCTGGTAAGCCACTGACTGTGACTAGACTGGTCTCTTATCCCTCCTCTAAGTATCCACCTTCATCTTACTCACCTACAACTCCATTCAAATCTCCCTTTTCCTGGAATTGGACTGCAGCTCGACCAATGTCTGGTATTGGGAGTTCGTCATGAACTCTCTGATATCCTTCTTCAGCATACTTAAGTATCTGGTCATCCATGCCTGATCAACAAAGGCATACTCAGGACAAAACATGGCTCTCTCATGGAACATCCTGGTGATCTCAGTAATTGTCTTTGTCACATGTCGGAGTGACAAGTACTCCTAAGCCAATCGCTCCCTCTCCACCAAGGGAACATAATCCTCTCGGAACATCTCAACAAACTGATCCCAGGTCATTGCAGCTTTCTCCGCAGCTGATAAGTCAGCAGTCACAACCATTCACTAGTCCTTCGCTCCCAAACAAAGTAGGTTTAGCGCAAAGCGAAACCTCAGATAATCCGGATAGGAGCATGTGTAAAAGCATTCCTCAACATCAATAATCCACCTCATAGCTGCAATCGGGTCCTGGACCCAATCGAATTCTAGGGGTTTCGTGTTGTTAAACTTCTGGTACTACATCAAATCACCCCTGTGGTATCTCATGGCGGCAATAGCAGTGGTGGCTGTGGCAGCAACAGCCTTGATGACAGCAGCATAACACTCATCAAACATCTCGATCATCGTAATTTTGATAGACCCAAATACCTCAGGGGTAACCTCCCTGATTGTCGCGACCACTTCAGTAGAAATGATCCATTGGATCTCCGCACCACTGATACCCTGCCTCTTCGCACCGCTAGAGGCTGAACCTCGGGTGTATGACATACTAAAATACACAAGGAAAAATGGTCAAAACCACACTATGTGCACATGTGAACACATAACCTGCTCAACTACTCAGTACCCCTGATATTCATTCTAAATCCCATACAGATCCTATGCTTCCACTAGTACGGGCACATACTACTTTTCAAATCTAACCATAGTTGATTTAGATCTTTTCTCAAGGTACCGAACTACATCTAACCATACAGATCCTAGGTCCTCAAAGAGCCACATCTAATCCTCTAGATACACATCCTAGGTCCCTAATCAGCTACATCTCTATCTTGTGAGAAGTGTATGCTAACCTCATCAATGGCTCCATGCAAACCAATTATACATAACTCAGATTCCACATACATTCGAATAAGAGATTCCACCCCAAATCGACAACCAAACAAGGAACATGAATTAAGTCTAAACCAAGCATTCTGAGTCTATAAAATCCTAATTATGTACAATCATGCAATATACATGAAGCAATTAGCAATCGTAGTTTCAACCGTAGAAAAACATTCACAAGAATCTCCTAGGCTATAAGGCATCACAAAATCAGCCAACCCTATCCTGCAAGTCTTAAAGGATCCTCAGCCTATCAACTAGCATGCATTTCTATCAGCTCTAATAACATAAATTCTAATACAACATACGATATAATATGAATATTTTGGAAGATCACTTCTTCGGTCTCCGGCTGACTATATACATTGCTTCCTCTGATCTCCTCTTATTATCCATTACTTGGTAAAAAGGTTTTTATAAAACTCTCAAATTCTTAGTTTGAGACTAGAATCCCATGAACGTTCATCCAAATCTCTCAAACGAGAGCTCTGATACTAACTTGTAACAAACTGATTTTTACCATAAAAATTTTCATTTTTAAATATAGAAAACATCAATATTATAAAACCGAGTCGTAAACATCCAAGGTGAATCAAATACAATCATCCCAAATTAAAGTATCAAAATGCTAAAAATCATTAAATTTGCAAGCCAGAGTGTACATTCAAGCCTTCTCCTTTCCGCGATCATCTAAAGTACCTAAAACACATTTAATCCACAATTGTAAGTACGAGACTTAGTGAGTTCCCAAAATATTACATACAACTCAACAAAATAAATAACTATGGTTTATCAACAACCTTATGGATTAACATCACATTTCAGGGGTTATCAGCAACTCGGGGATTATCAGCAATCCCCTTGGACTCAAAGTTATCGAAGAGATATTAGCAACACAGTTATACAAATCACATCAATCAACAAGTAATACCCAGTTGGTCAGCATGCATACACTACTACACATGTATTATAGTGAGAAGACTTACCTCGTGAATAGCAGCTAAAGCTACAACAACTCTCACATACAGGGTAAACAGGAGCAACAAGACACCTAACAACAGTAAAGACATACCTTTTCAGCCTACACCAGTAAAACCCTAGCCCGACCCAAAAGTCAACCATGGTCAACTTCAACCAACATTCACATCGTGACCACCCATAGGTCATGTCGTGATCGAACTCAGACAAAACAATCGTGAATACTCCCTTCTCACGACGTGACATGTTATTCCTCACATCGTGAGATCCGTTCTGGACAACTTTGAGCATTAAGTTCTTAATCCCTTAACCCACTCCTTGAGACTTTCCAGAGGGTCTTCCCCAATCTTAAGGACCATAAAAATCATAGCTTTTTTGTTATGCATGTCTAATGCATGACTTGGACATTAACTAGGTCAATACGAAGAAAATGGCTGATCAATAAAGTTGCTAACTTTATGGATCCTATGCATGCTACCCAACCCAATCATGAAAAGAGAAACATAAATCTTTGATCTAGCATGCATAAAAGATAAAGACTAGAGTTTTAGGACTTACAAAGGTCCAAAATCACTACAAGGTGATAAGGAAGGAGATTGCTTGCCAAAAGGATGCACCCAAGGAGTCTTCTTTCTTCTTCAAAGAGCCAAACCCACCGAATGAGCTCTTTAAGGTCACTAATGGAGGCTAAAAACGATTTGGGCAGGAAGGAGGTGAGGGAGGATGAGAGTGTGCAAATCCTAGCCTCCCACTTCCCTTAAATAGGGTGCAAAGCATGTGATTAGGGTGAGACTAATCTCATGAGGTAAACACCTATGTGTCATGTCGTGAGCCTCAAGAATGGTCACACAATTCAGCCGAATGTCAAGTCGTGACACATTATCTCTCACGTTGTGACCCTCTATAATTTGAGGTTTTTCATTCTTATTTAATTCTTAACATTGAAAGATCGAGTACATATTAGATGTTAAATCAACACCGAAATTTTAATAATTTGTCTTAAAACATTGAAAGAATATTAAAAAAAAACAAAAATATAAAATTTCTAAAAAAAAAGCCAAAAAATTTAAAAGAAGCTGTAATTTTTTAGAGAAAACTAATTTTAAAGAACATAAAAAAAGAAAATTAAGAAAATATTGTAAATACTGTCTAGAAAATTCGTAAAGAACTACACATGTTAAAAGAGATCAAACCGAAATTGAAACTATTATTAAAAGAAATGGCAAAAAAATAATTTAAAAAATCAAAGTTTTTAAAAAAAAGATCAAGTTATAAAAAATTATGGAAATTGTATGGAGCAGAACATGTGCAGATGTTGTAGTCCGAAGTCTTTCAAAAACAAACTGCTACAAAATGACAAGTGTTGCACGTATACTACGTTACATAGAATAAAATGATCTTAAGAGATTTTGCTAAAAGAACAAGCAATCCCTTAGATTTAGATTAGTTATTTTTAAAATTTTTATTGGATTAAAAACTATAACCGTTGCCTCTCAAAACTAGAAGTATAATCATATACTCCACTTAACAACTATTAATTTTTTGGTAAAATAAGATAATATCTTAAATATTTTCAATTACATTGTTGTATATCATATTCCAGCAGTACATTTGCCCTGTTGCTAGTCAAAAAAGTCGTCCCCTGGTCCGCCTTGCTTACCAACCCAGTACATCAATATATACTTTCTGTAGAAATTCTCCTATGCAGCCATCAATATATTTGTGTTGCCATGAGTATACATAAAGTTCGAAACTTTTTCTGTAGTTTCTGTCTACCAATTCATGGTAAGTTGTAACTTTCTCACAAAAAGTTCGAAAACAAAACTTGTGAAAACCAGGCAAGTAGTTAATACATGCGATTTACACGTGTCCATAAAGATCAAAGACAAATGAAATAAGCTTGAACAAAGATTCCAAGTAATATTATCTTAAAACTCACAACAAAATCAAGAATTTAAGTTCTTAACCCATAATTCTTGAAATTCTAGTTAGCTTTTTGTAGGAGTTGTTCATGGAAGCTTTCCTTCCAAGAAGGAAGAGAAGAATGTGAGTGCACGAGCCCCTCTTATGGTCACAAATGTTAGGTTTTAGTATCCAACAACATATCCACCAACCTAAATATATAACAAAAAGATACTCCCACAAATCAATTTTTGTTAATTTACAAAACAAAAGTACCAAAATGAAGTGCTATTGCTTGATGAGGAACATAAAGGAGCATAGATGTCATAGAAGTAGATGTTGCTTCTAGATGCTGTTGCCTGACTTTGATATTCAGCACGTGTTTCTGTTATGGTTCCACCCTCAGAAAGATTACAGTTAGAAATTATTCCTTCATAGATTTCATCAGAAATAATCATGTGTGTCCAGAAATAATCAAAATTCCCGTGTTTTCTGTTTCATCATCCACATACGCATTTCCAAGCTTAAAATACCAACTTAATTAGAATTTACATAAACATACGTTGATTGTTGAGTACTTATTCTTTGTCAACTTTAAAGTTACTAGATTTTCTGACTTACAGCAATTCCTTTGAGGTTGATGACAGTTTGATTAGTGATCTTGTTGCTTAGAACATATACTAAAAAATCAAAAAATTCCATTGAGCCATAGTACAAGAAGATTAGTGGAATATTTAATGGGTGACTTTGCAAGATAACAGAAGAGTGCTCTCCCATGGTTTGGGTCCACAGTCACATACCCTGAATACTGGTCAAAATCTGTTCCAGTTGGTTGACATGGCAAAGATAATACAGATGATACCCACATATACAGATGAATATGAATACTCGGTTTTGAGTACTTTGTTGCTAACATTATTTAGTGTTGATCTTTTTGCACGTTGGATACTTAAAGCACTCTCAAGTCTCAAGAGGATCATATCTATTCCCACCATAACGTTGCATGAAAACCAGAAGACTCAAATGAATTGATAGAAGAAGTGGAATCTTCATTTTCATTTTCTTAGTTATGGTATGTTCTTTTGATTCTTAGATGATACATGAAAATATCTATATAGGCATCAGATATGATCGCGTGACTCCAGAAATAATCATACATGAAAATATCTATATAGGCTACGTGTTATGTTCTACTCCCACTACGTCCAATTACTAATTGACAACAGATAATATATCGCTCCCAACCGAGGCTCCCTTCATACCACAAACCGATTTCCGACCTCAAAGCTAAGCTCAAGATTAGGGCTTTGTTCTCCTTAATCCTCTATCTCACTCTTTCCATTACGATTCACAGTTCTTCAACGTCGTCGACACTCTGCAACTCGCCAGTGATGCGCCAGATCTCTACCTCAAGTGTATGAAATTGATATCCAACAGGTTCAAGGTCGCCGAAGAATCAGAAGGTTGGAGATTCCTACAAGACAATGATCCATATCTCGAACTCGAAATTCTCAAGTTCATCGATGAATCCGAATTGGTGCGTATTCTAATTATTTTCAACTTCCTTTAATATCCAAATCGTATCTTCGATTTAATCTGAAGATTAGGAGTTGCTAATGCTAATGAATCGAATCTATATGTGTAGAGGAGAAAGCGAAGTCGGAAGCATCTTCAAGAACAAAGTTTGTATTTCCAGCTGAGTGAAGCGATGGATTGTTTACAGCATATCTGCACTGAATGTTGCACAAGTGTAGGACCATACGACAAGGAACCAAGCAAGAATAGGGCACCTTGCAGCAAGTTCTCAACATGTGAAGGCCTCCAACACTCCATTAAACACTTCGCAATCTGTAAGATGAGAGTTAATGGAGGTTGTGTTCGGTGTAAACATATGTGGCAGCTCTTCAGACTCCATTCTTCCATCTGTGAATCATCTGATTCGACTTGCAGAGTCCCCCTATGCGTAAAGCCATATCTTCCTTATCTTTACCCGTGAGGAAGATGGAACAACACGAACAGCCAAGATCATTGAGAGACGCCATGAACAACCATATAAGTGTAGCATGTTGAACACGGATTTAGGAGAAATTAGTCTTATTCTTTGTTTTTTTTTATCTGTTTAGTTTAGTGGAAATGGTAAAGTTGCTGATGTTTGTACATGTGGCATGTTTGGTGTGGGTGTAGATGGTATTTTGTTAAAAAGGGTACTCTTTGTAGTTGAAAAAAAAACTGAGCTTTTTCTACTTAAAATTTTTAAGGTATATTTTAGTATTTAGTAATAAAGATTTTATGTAAAAATATGCTTGAATTGCAATTTTTATAAATTTATTTATTTATTTTGTTAATCTTATATAACAGATATCATTTCTTCATACTGGAGCAGATAAAATCGATCGTAGAGGGTTGGAAAAGATGACACTAATTGAGGTTTGCAGTAATATTTTTGTTTAAATGTTTTGTAAGATTATAACAATTGACATATTTATAAAAAAAAATGTTAAGGTTGGACCAAGATTTTGTTTAAATCCAATCAAGATATTTGGTGGTAGTTTTGGAGGTCCAACTTTATATCTATGTTTCGCCTCATAGGTGGGAAAATATTATTTGATCATTTTTGGTGGATTTAATGTGTCTTTTAATGCATATACTAATTTAAAATTTTGCCCTTGATGATTAGATACGATCTTTGGAGAAGAGACAGAAGGCTGGGAAGTATGCAAAGTTTGATTATTTTGTTAAATGAAGTTGGTTACACAATTGTTGATGTTGATAATTTTGTCTCGTGCTCCTTCGAGTTTTACATTCCATAATTCCATTTAATTCAGTAGCAACTACTTTTAAAGCTGCATAAAAGTAGATTGTTCATCTTTTTCCCTCTTTAAGGTGTTATGACCAATCATTCAATCCTAACTCAAAGGGATAAATTGGGTGTGGTGGATCTTCAAGAATCTAATACCTTTTGTTTTACCCAAAATTGACTTAACTAAAGTTAAGTTTTTTATTTTATTTTGATAGATGAAGTGAACCCTTGATTGAATGAAAGACTACTTTGTAGAAAATAAAACGTCAGCCTGTGTAAATGGACTGTCTATGTAGATGTTCGATACATTGCAGGTTCTGGACCTATGATTTCATTCATATTATTGTTTTTTCGTAAGGTAAATTTTGATTGGATTGTTAAATTTTGCTGATCAACTATGAGAATGCTTAATTAGATCCTTCTTTGCTTGATCAGTTTTCCCCTGTTCTTGCAACTTTATATACCTTTCATGAGCCCTCTATTTACTTACAATGAAGCATGTGATTTATGTGGCAAATGTTGCAGAGTCTGATTTAACTTCACCTGAGAATAATCCTCATCTAAAAAATGTCATGGAACTTGCTTCTGAGTTACAATCTGGATTAGTCACTGTCTCTGCTCAGGTATTGAAACTTTGCTATATTTATCCAATAAAACAATCTTTCTTAAAAATAAAAAAAATAAGGTTTGGTTTTTAAACTTTTAATTACAGGTGGAATCAGAGCTAACATAACTCCCATCACAAGAAAGAATAGAGTTTTTTACATCTCTTGGTGTAGATGAGAGTGGGCTTGGAAATCTTATCAGGGTGACATATGACCTTCTTGGCTTATGTACATATTTCACCTCCGGAGAGAAGGTGTGGAAAACTCAAATGTATTTTTTTTTTTTTGGTAACAAGTGATTTAACTGTGTACATTGCAATAGTCAAATGTTGAAATTCAACTGAAGAATTTATTTTACGAATCTAACCCCGCAACGCGGGATTCTTCCTTAGTTTTCTTCTATTTACAAATTAATGAAACCATTGATTTTCACTGCAAGAAACGTGATGATTAGCGGCGATACCGGTCACCGCTAAAGAGTGTGGTTGTCGCCGCGAAAAGGTCACCAGCTGTTCCCTCATCCCAAAGGGTGGATGCACGAACACATATTAGGTGTTGCCCGAGGTTGAGAAAGGTATTGCCGATGTACACTGCAAGAAATGTGGGTATTAGGGGCGACGCTAGGCATCAGCGGCGACATGTAAATGACACGTTACATGTTGCCGCTGATGCCTAGCGTCGCCGCTAAAGCCGTCACCACTAATATCCAAATAGTAGCGATCCGCGTTAAATGAACTCTATCCATTCGATCTGTATTCAATCGAACGGTTGCAACTGGATGAAAAAAGGCACTGACTTTTCTCTCCAGGCGTGTCGCCGCTATGGGTCCACGTAGATAACCCCTCCACTTCGTTGTTTCCTGCGTATTTTGTCTAATATTTTCTCTCATTCTTTCCATCGCCGGTGTTTCTTACACCACCGACACCGCCATCCAAACCTCCATTGCACACACGAAAGTTGTCACCGCCGTCCAAACCACCATTTCCACCAATACCAGCGACCTAGAGTTCCATTACCGGCGACCAAGAGAAAACGAACACACTTCAATCCGAAATTTTTACCTATTTAAGGTCGAAATTCTTCCATATTTTCAATTCTTCTTATGTTTTGATGTTTATTTACTTAGTTTAAGCTTTTAATTTAAGGTTGTGTTGTTGTAGGAGTTGTTGCCGAAATTGTGGAATTTTTACCGGGAAATTTCGAAATTAAACTACCACAGGTTATTTTTCATCTTTCATATTATAAATAGAATGTATTTATGTGTGTATGATGCATTTATGTGTTTTAGAACTCTTATATAAAAACTTATACATGAAGAAGTGCATGAGAGAAACCTGTAGGCTATGCTTCTATTTAAATACCCTCACTTGCCACCCTTCACCCTCCTACTTAAATACAAATTCAATTTGAAAACAAATCATATATCATTCGTGAATTGATAATTTAGTTATTTTGTAATTGAATATGTTGATTTGAGTCATGTTCTTTCTTTAAAATGCCAAATGGATAAATATAAAATCCAGTTAAAGAAATTGGTCAAACAAATGAAAATTTTGTCTAGAATATAGTTTTAATGCTTAAAAAGAATCCATAATGTTTTTTTATAAAATATATTTGTAATAATCTTAAAAATACTACACATTATAAAAGAAAATTCTTAAAAAAATGTTTGACTCAACAAAATATATTTGTAATCCGCAATCGCCGTTCTGATAAGGTTTCAAGTATTTGAAGTTCTTTATGTATAATAAAAACAAATATTTGGCTTAACAAAATATAACAAAAACCAATATTTGAAGTTCTTTATATATAATTTTTATATAAGAATTCATAATGGTTTCATGTATTTTTTTTGTATGTATATGTTATTTGTATGTGTATTATTTGTGAATGTGAATATGTAATTTGTATGTATGAAAAAAATGAAAGAAATTAGGTTGCTATGATAGAAAGAAAAAAAAAAGTATGATATTATAATAAGTACGTGTAGAATACATGTTTATGTTTATTTTATATATAATGTGTCTATATATATATATATATATATATATATATATATATATATATATATATATACTAGCAGTGTACCCGCACAAAGCGGCGGGGCATGTAAATTCTTTCGATGATATGTTTCCTCTATAAAAATGTTATGTTACAAAAGAAAGTACATGTCGAAGACAAAATAATCAAACTATGATGTTATTTGGGAGATGAAGTTATTTTTTGTTCCTGGACGGTAGACTTTATAGCAGAGGAGGGAACAAAGAGGTATATGCGATTGGAGGGATATTTGAATCAACATGCTAAATTTAAGGATATCTAAAAGGGTTCAAAATTTGAATGAATACGGGATTTGAGGGAACCATATCAAATTGCTGAGAAATATAAGGAGATTTGATGATAAATATTTGAATTCAAAATTTAGTTAAAATTTAATATTATTTTATTAATGGTTACTTGTACTATCAGCTTCATCATTTGGACGTCTTAAAAAATATTATTATTATAATCAATCTATTTATAGAAATAGTTAGATTTCTTTTATAAGATAGTAATATATATATATATATATATATATATATATATATATATATATATATATATATATATATATATAATGTATGAGTTTTGCTATAATAGAAACCTACTTTTAACGACAACGTCTATCGCTGATAATACTCTAATTTTTTTGTAGTGATAGAAAAATAGGTAAAAAAATCGACAAAATTTTCACTTTGAACAGAAAAAGTAGGTGTTGCCGGTGCCACATCAGAACACCTACTAGGTTTGCCCATGGTCCCTAATGCTCAATGTGTCGTCGTTATATATATATATATATATATATATATATATATATATATATATATATATATATATATATATATATATATATATATATATATATATATACACACTAGACATATGCTCGCGCAAAGCGACGATGATAAATAGCTTTTTTGCGAATAATTTCTTGTGGCAAAATAATTATTTGATTTTATTATTAATTATTATGTAATAAAAATTTATTACTTTTAAATTAAAATTTTATGTTTAGATATAATATTTATATTGCATGTTTATACTATTGATTTAAATTAATTAATATCAACATCCAGTTGAAAAAATGTAAATTAATTTATATAAATGAATTTAATATTTTAACTTAATTTGTTAGTTTGCTTCAAACTGAATTTCTAAATAACATTTCTTAATTCAAGTATTTAAACTTTTGACAAGTATTAATGATTTATTTGTGTGTAAATGATTTGTTGAAAAAGTTTTGTAATTTATACTTCTTTTAGGGTGTATATATATATATATATATATATATATATATATATATATATATATATATATATATATATATATATATATATATATATATATATATATATATATATAGTCAAGAAAATAAGAAGGAAATTTTTTGTAGGAAGGTAAGAAGTTTTTTTTTCTACATATTTTTATCGCGAACAAACAAAATGAATCATTAGATGATTCATTTGTAAGATTATTCATGAGAAAATTTTCTCAAAAAAACATCTCGATGATTCATTTATACAATCATTTTGTTGTTATTTACTAAAATTATCATAAAAATGAATTTTTTTTCTTAATTTACTTAAAAATAAATCATAAAGATGTTATTTTGAGAATTTTTTCTTGTGAATCATCTTACAAATGAATTATCTAGTGATTCAATTATTTTGTTCGTTAAAAAAATATGTAGAAAAAAAAACTTCTTACCTTTCTACCAAAAAAATTTCTTACCGGATAGATATATATATATATATATATATATATATATATATATATATATATATATATATATATATATATATATATATATATATATATATATATAGAGTGAAGATCAAATAAGAAGGAAAATTTTGGTAGGAAGGTAAGAAGTTTTTTTTGTACATATTTTCTTAGCGAACAAACAAAATGAATCATCACATGAATCATTTGTAAGATGATTCACAAGAAAAAATTCTCAAAAAAACATGTTGATGATTCATTTATACAATGATTTTGTTGTTATTCACTAAAATTATCAAAAAAATGAATATTTTCTTAATTTACTTAAAAATGAATCATGAAGATGTTTTTTTTGAATTTTTTCTTGTGAATCATCTTACAAATGAATCATCTAGTGATTCATTTATTTTTTTCATCAAAAAAATATGTACAAAATAAACTTCTTACCTTCCTACAAAAAAATATTTCTTACCGGATCTATATCCTATATAATATATATATATATATATATATATATATATATATATATATATATATATATATATATATATATATATATAATGATTTAGTTATTGTTTATATTAATTATTTGTGCATATATATCTTTATTGTGTTGATCAAACCAAAAACCAACATATATTAGGTATCTCATAAACATTTAACAATTCTATGTGATGCAATCATAGTCTAATATGTTTCATATTTAAAAGAGTTGTTGATTAATTGAAATGTTCATTAATCAAGCACACTAAGGTAATTTTATCTTAATTAGCAACTAATACAAACACCACTATAAGTTTTTGAGCTGGTTTAGGATATTTCGAGTAGTTTATGTAATTTTTTTGCAGATGAAAAGATGAAAAGAAAACATCGGCAATCTTGTAAATGCTTGAAGGGATTTACACATAACCCCGTTTAGAATCACATACAAATGAAATAATTAAAAAGCCAATAAAGATCATTATGGAAGATATCAATCTTAACCCACTATCAATTCTTGAAGTTTTAGTTACCAAGTGGTATGAATGTCAAGGTTGGAATTGTTCACGGAAGCTTTCCCTCCAAGAACGAAGAGAAAAACGCAAGTGCACGAGCTGGTTGGTAGCTTGGGACAAAGTGTCCAGCTCCTCTTATGGTCACAAATGTTAGGTTTTGGTATCCAACAACATATCCACCTACCTGAATCACATAAAGAAATTTTGATTAATCATTTTCTTTAGTGTGATACGCAGCTATATTACACAGGATCATGGGACAGCATTCGACAAACTTATATATAGGCTATTTTTGATGATATAAATGAAAAAGGCATTGACGTATTTTCTGTTAATGAGAGATCAAGAGCGACATAAATTGTTATGTAGTATTCTTTCTTGGTATTAAAATGAAGATTGAATGGAAGGCTTTCTACCTTTTCTTCATACATCCATGGGTACCATGGTGTCTTCACTGATGTTTGTAGTTTGTCTATTGAATACCTACTTGTTGTCACAGGTACTCTCGCATCAGTGTCTCCGCTGCAATTTTTTATGAGTTTTAGTTTTTATTTATGTTATATTCTGCTAAGAATCCACAAGAAATAATCATTGATTATCTTTACGAATTTACCTGTAGATCCAAACACTGATTCCGGTGGCCATTAAATCCTGAATCACCGGCAAGACTGTAAAAGGGAGGTCTGTCCAGTGTTTGTTTATGTATTCGCTATATTTGAATGGAAGAAACTTATAAAAATTAAGCAAGATGATGTATGTTTCTACATGTTTAAGAAAATTTTAATTATGAATTTAGAAGTTAGTATTACTTGCAAGATTCCCACTTGACTGGTTTTGCATGAAGTGACTGTTGCACTGAAGCTATGTTCAAGTATGAGCTAATATAATTTTCTGTGCATGGATCAAACGCTGATATCTGTTTCAGTCATATGAATTCATGTCAAGATTTTTCTTTAGAATGCGACTTTATAAGAAAAGAACTTACCGATGGAGTGCTATTGCTTGATGGTGAACATAAAGGAGCATAGATGTCATAGAAGTAGATGTTGCTTTTAGCAGCAAATGCCTGTATTTTATAGTCGTTACATGCATCTGTTATGGTTCCAGCCTCTGTAAAATTGCAGTTGGAGATGATTCCTTCATGGATTTCATCAGAAATAATGGCGTGTGTCCAGAAATAGTCGAATAGTCCTGTGTTTTCTGTTTCATCATCGACATATGCATTTCCGAGCTGAAAAAATCAACATGAACATGTTATATATATGTCCTTTGTTTAGTCTTCATCAAGATATACTTTCAAATAACTAGCGACTACAGTCTACAGACTTACAGCAATTCCTTTGAGGTTGATGACAGTTTGATTAGTGATCTTGTTGTTTTGAACAATTAATTGCGCGAGTTGTGGGATGTAATGTCCTGCGTAGCTTTCTCCCGTGATATAAAAATCTCTACTTTTATATTCTGGGAACCTTTCTAACCAATTGATTAGAAACGTGTACGAATCTTTAGCTGTTTGTATGTCTCCAGTTTTATAATCGGAAGATGTATTTGAGTAAGAAAATCCCACTCCAGCCGGGGATTCCAAGAAAAGTACATTTGCAACTGTACACGTGATGATCAATCATTATAACATAAAATCTCTTGAAAAACACGTGCATACAAATATATTAATATATGACTATGACTACATGATTATTGTTTATTACCATTGTTCCATGCATATTTATTTCGTGACAGGGTTACATTATCAGCATTAACTCGAAATGGTCCAAGTTCCATCATTGCCCCGTTTCCAAATGAAGAGCAACCCGGACCTTCATCAATTCACATATAGCTTAATTAGTATTTTTCGAAATTTAGAATTGAAAAGGCAACACAAGAATACATTAATTACCTCCATTGAGCCATAGTACAAGAGGATTAGTGGAAGAGTTAATGGGTGACTCTGCAAGATAATAGAAGAGTGCTCTCCCATGGTGTGGGTCCACAGTTACATACCCTGAATACTGGTCAAAATCTGTTCCATTTGGTTGACCTGGCAAAGATGATATCTTGTCGACATCTTTCAATCCATCTTGTGGGCCCACGTATACCGGTGAGTATGAGTTCTCGGCTGTGAGCTCGATATGATCTTGTGCTGATCTTTTAGAACGTTGGATGCTTAAAACGTTCTCGAGAGGATCATATCCATTCCCACCATAGCAATGAGCGAAAACCAGCAGACAGAAATGAATCGTCAGAAGAAATGCAATCTTCATTGGTGAAGTGAAGGTGTGTTCTGCTGCTGCTTTGATTGTACAGAAATGTGTTTCTATACATGTATATTTATATAAGCTTTTTTTTTGTTGAAAGTCACGACTGTGTGTTCTTGCTGCATTGGCCGTTCACGTGTCAAAACAAATGATTTCAATGGTTGAAAAAAGGAAGAAAAAGACAAGAAGTGTTTACAAGCTTGATAGCGTGCCGGTTTTACTTACTTAGATAAAGCCAAATGTATGGTGTTAGACTTTGACCAGTTATATAATTCTGATGTATTTTTCATCATGGAGTCACTTTTTAGACAAGATTTAAAGCTTTAACAAAATGTGCATATATAAATATAACAATAAATAATAGTTGAATATATATATATATATATATATATATATATATATATATAAATTATTAATTATATACAAAATTGTCGATTCAAGTAACGCCTTACAAACGATATGGTTCGCCACAGGTTGAAAAAACTTGAGGCTTGACATTGTCGTCATACGCCTAACGTTATTTAGAACTTTGCTTTTAGAAGATTAATCATGAATGTGTTTGAATCAGAATCGTAATTGACTGAATCGTAATTAACTGATAATAGATCTTTTGATAATTTTGGTTTTGATATGATGGTGATGCATGGTTTAATAGATAAACTTCTACCCTAATAAATCAACATCTTTTTGACACTTGGCAAATTACATCTTTTTGACACTTGGCAAATTCTTATGTGTTTAGAAAAATGACATTTTCTTGATTTTTTAATTTTTAAATATTCCACATGTAAATTTATTAGAATGTCACATGTAATGCACACAAATTGTTGAAGACACGTTTATGTTTATGTTTATGTTTCCTAAATTAAGTCCATATATAGAGCAACAAAGATATGTTTGCCAATTGATTAGCCTTCAATCACGGTGGATTGAAGGATTCGATTTCAAAATCATATCGATTCCTTTTAACCAAATATTTTCTGTGTATGGACTATGTACTTATATGGAATGTTAACTTGATATCTATTTAGAATCACATCAATCATGCGTAATCGTTCATCTTTTACTTATAGCAGGTAATAATTTCCAAAAATTTCTTTCAATTACATCTATATACATAATACATTCATGAGTCGTTTCCTTTCAATTTCGTTTATATATGCACGAGTCGTCTTCTTCACGCTGGAATCAAATGTCTTGAAGAATCTGCATTACCATCCCAATAACTACATAAGGTTAGTATTATGCCCATTTATATATGCACGAGTCAATTCCTTTTAGTTTCAATTATCTTCTTTTTTTTTAACACACTGTAACAAGGTCATTTGTATAATGTCCGTCAACTGTTCAATGTAATGTCAATCTCAATTTCTTTGTTTGAAATATTCAACATATTATGCCTTCTATATGAATGTGTTTTAAAGAATAAAAAAATGTTCGATGTAATACCACTAGCCAACATTTAAGGGTTCTACACGATTTTTTTTTATTTCATTTAGTAGTTTCTATAACCATTAAAATATGTGGTTTCACTCACTGGTTATGTGATTATTAAGACTTCAAATAATATAATAAGACTACTACATTCAAACTGTGTTATTCAGACTGTTCGATGTAATGTCAATCACAATTTCTTTGTTTGAAATATTCAACATATTATGCCTTCTATATGAATGTGTTGTAAACAATAAAAGTGAAACACATATGACTTTTTTGCCCATGCTCATAGGAAAGTGCGGTCAATAAACAACCGTGAAACACATATGACTTTTTTGCCCCTGCTCATAGGAAAGTGCGGTCAATAAACAACCGTCTTAGACAGTTGTAGCCTCTGTGTATAAAAAAAGGCAAAATATAACCATAAAATGCAATGCAAATTGAAAGGAAACGAAGTAATATAAAGTTTGCTTAATTTCTCTATTGGAAATATTGAACTTATTATGCCTTCAATCTAAAATAAGTATATCCTACTATACATTGTTTTTACAACTTATTATTCATTAATCACGTTCAAAACACACATACAGAACATGCCTGTTCAGGAGCTCTTTCAAAAAAAGAAAAACTTTATTTTTGGATGCAACTTAGTTTTGAACAGGGGAAATATCAAAAGGAGTATTTTGGTCCTTTTATTATGAAAGTGTTTCTGTTTCTTCTTGATTCTTACTACTTTTCCCATATTGCCCCTGCATTACCATCTTTGAATGTAGTAATCTTATTATTTTATTTGAAGTCTTAATAATCACATAACCGGTGAGTGAAACCACATATTTTAATTGTATAAATCAACATCTTTTTGACACTACCAAAATATTGAACTTATTGACACTTGGCAAAAAACAATATGTTTAATGTATTTTGAATGATCTACTATATATATTTGTATTTGTATCTTTGTTTTTCCTACTTTAAGTAATGGTGTAATTCCTACAAACATTACTATAATAAAGAAAAGCACAGGTATGTTTAGTGATGGACTAAAAAATATATAACACCCAATATATTTTGTTTGAATGATCTACAATATCTTGATTCTTACTACTTTTCCCATATTACCCCTGCATTACCATGTTTGAATGTAGTAATCCTATTATATTATTTGAAATCTTAATAATCACATAACCAGTGAGTAAAACCACATATTTTAATTGTATAAATCAACATCTTTTTGACACTACCAAAATATTGAACTTATTGACTCTTGGCAAAAAATAATTTGTTTATTGTATTTTGAATGATCTACTATATATTTGTATTTGTATCTTTGTTTTTCCTACTTTAAGTAATGGTGTAATTCCTACAAACATTACTATAATAAAGAAAAGCACAGGTATGTTTAGCGATGGACTAAAAAATATATAACACTACCAAAAAAATCAAAAAGAAAACTGTGTGTATGATAAATATGGTGGATGTCTTTTTGTGTATGGTTGTTTTGTTATTAATAATTCCAACTCTCAATATTTATCATTTTCATGTAATAATCAAACTTATACATCAAAATTGTTTACTATTTCCTGATGTTGAGTTTAGCTTTAACCTTTAAAAGCAAGATAATTACCATGTTTCAGGTTTGTTTTCTTGTGCAAATAGAAAACATAACTAAAAAAGGTAATGCCCAACTCCCATATCTAAAATCTAATGGTGAATCCCCATTATGAAAAATTTAAGACCCTAACACGTTCATTATATCTACGATGTAGGGGTATTAGTTTTGAATTCCGATTTCATCATAAACATTGTATTAATAAAATGTTAGTAAAATGCTTTTCTTCAAATAAATGTCTAAACAAACTTTTCATTAATTAGACCTTCAATAGTATTTGTATTTATAAAAAAAAATTCCTCAAACTCCAAAGCTGAAACCCTCATGTTGAGATAAATGTCTTTTTGCCCTGCTCATAGGAAAGTGCGGTCAATAAACAACCGTCTTAGACGGTTGTAACCATCTGTTGGAAATATTGAACATATTATGACTTCAATCTAAAATAAGTATATCCTACTATACATTGTTTTTACAGCTTATTATCCACTAATCACTTTCAAAACACACATACAGAACATGTCTCTTCAGGAGCTCTTTCAAAAAAAAAACATGTCTCTTCAGGAAGCATGTCCTAGTGCTTAGAATCTGGATTTTTTTTTTTTTTTACCACGATTCATTAATACTTTTGCCATATTGCCCCTGCATTACCATGTTTGACACCATGTTTCTGAACAGGATATCCACAAACATTTTATAATGAATAAAAGGTAAGTCGAACACATATACCTTTTTATTATTATTATTATTATTATTATTATTATTATTATTATTATTATTATTTTTACCATTTAATGGTCAAAAATTTTCAAAAAAATATAACATGTTTCTTAACAGGTAGGTCCTCAAAACTTCTCTTCCAATCCCTGTAACACAGGGAATCTTGATAAATCAGAGTAGGTTCACAACATTCATCAATTTTAATTAACATGAGTTTGGAGGGAAAAACAAAAAAGGAAAATACGTAGACAGGTAAATGATTGGTGTCTTGATACATTCAACCAAGGTTTTTTTTGGCTTAACCTATTAAGTAATTTTGTCTAAATTAAGTCAAAAGGTAACAACCATATGGCATTATGTGCTTAACTCATTAGCTCAAAAACTAACAGGGACTATTAAGTATGACCTCAAAACTTTTTAGCAATTGCTGCTATCCAGGCTCTATCTTTATCATTATATGCATAACTAATGCTAGATGCCAACAACACAAACCCTGTAATCTTGTCTTGAAAGTTGTTCCCTTTAAGCACAGGCAAATTCAATGCAGAACGTGTCTCTTTAGGAAGCATGGTTCCCTTTAAGCACATCTTTTTGTAATCTCCTTTAGAATTAATAATGTAATTATCGCCAAATGATTTAACAGCAGTAGATCATGGGTCATATTCTAAAGAATATGATTCTAATGGTATAAAGAATATGATTCCAACAATATTTTCCTTTTGTATATCGATGCTACACATGCTCTTGTCCTATCTGTTCTGTTTTCTACTCGGATTCTCACTACTTTTCCCATTATGCCCATGCATTACACATATGCCTAAACCCACCAAATATTCAGCACAAAATCTGGCTAAATATTCTCCAAATAATAAAAAAAATATGAACTTAAATTAAAATCTTCATCAATTAATAACTTTTATTATAAAACAAACCTTAACAATTCATGTTCCACTAGTCTGCCCATCGGAAATCCTTTGTTGATCACTTTATTTCCATCTCAGCACCCATAAACTCCGACGGTATCATATGTGATTTCCTTCTACTGTGGTTGTTTAACGAACCCCTTTTAGTTCCTTCGATCTTCAATTGTACACCAGATGATCCAAAGCGCACCTTGCATTCTGCTTAGGTCAAGAATCGATATTCACAGTTTTAACGCCTCCTTCGTTGCTCACGGTGTTGTTTTACTTTTTTATCCTCATTCTTTACGTAAACCCTTTTTTTATATTTAAGATAACTAATG